CCGCTAGCTACACTGTGCTACACTGTTCGCACGCTTCGCGTGCTCAGGGCAGCGCTGCTCCGCAGCGCTTCAGCGTGACACAAAAACACACGTCACAGGTGCCTCTTCTCTATAAGGAGCGTGACACACAGACACACGTCACAGGTGCCTCTTCTCTATAAGGAGCGTGACACACAGACACACGTCACAGGTGCCTGTTCTTTATAAGTACAGATACATGTACATGTGCACGTGGGACGGCATGGCTAATGCTTTACGTGTGTCTAGCTGATAATGTTGGTTGCGCACACAACTCATCCCGCTGCGTAGGACAAGTACTACTTTCTCCCCCAGGCGCGATGACGTCTTATCCAAATGAACGAAATTTGTTGGATAGCCACGTGTTCGCTTTGCGTATGGCTCAGTACAATAAGTATCTTTAGGCAGGCTAGGCTAGGCATGGTCAGTTGATTTTAGGGTTGTGAGGTCATAAAAGTACTTGGTCTGAGTGCTCGGTCTTTCCTCTAGATGTTAGAAGCATGGAGTGAGAAAACAATGCTCCTGACTGCAACCACTAGTCGGTTAGTAGAGGTGTGGATTTGCCCACGCATTTATGTAGTATATGTAGGGATAAATCATTAAAATGTAAGGATGCTGCCACGCCACTCAAGAGGCCGTCCATGTCTCACAATAAATAGGTCCGTACGAATCACAAATCACGTCAAATCCAAGCGATTTCCTGCGGGAACTACATGTATTTCAATTTGTGTGGGAAGCAAGCATATCATTTCAGTTGAAAAGGTTACGTTTCCACTCGTCAAACCTGCAGGAGAGCACCACTCTCTGCTCATTGAACAATGACTATGTGCTGGGACATCACTCTTCATCAGTTCAGCTGGAGTAGACCGATGATTACTGTACTTGAAGAGCCCCGCTTCTTTTTCTTAGTGCTCTACACGCCAAGCCATCACCAAGGATACAAACTTACAAAGACGCTGCGTTTCTAGGGCGACACACACCTCATGAACACCAGATAGCAGCGTGAGTCAGTGTCGCTCGTGGGTATGTACCCTGGCCGGCCTAGGTCGTGGATTTGAGGACCCTCAGTCATTTGCAAGGCTGTCACTGTATTTTCAAACCAACTACTCCCAAACCTGGGCTGGGCGCAATAGTACTGCGAAAACGTGCTAGTGTAGTATCCCTGCCCGACCAATACCCGACCAAATTTGCCATCTTCCGGTTGACGCTGTGTTCATAACTCTTCACTAATTTTTTGAAAATCACGAGGGCGTGATTATCTGTAGGAAGGGAGGGTGTAGTATCCCTGCCCGACCAATACGGAAGTAGTATGGAACTAATACGGAGCTTTGCCTGATGTATATTTAGTGTATCTCGGTATGAAGCGTACGGCGTCTGCTGCATAAAAGCGGCTGCGCATTTCTGTTTTGCTGAAGATAAGATTAGATAGCAACGACAAAGGTAACTAGAAGAAGTAGTAGTGAACCTCTAGGTGTGCACCGGAGAGAAAGTTATTTATTTGCCGCTTCTTATTTCACTAATAATTATATCCCAGGTGTGTACCTGAGAGAAGAGAAGAATAAAACTAACTCTTGTTGATTACACCGCGCCTACCACTCGGCTACCTGTTACACTAGCGACCCCAACGATAATTCTCAGTATGACGTTGGTTGCTTCCAAATGTCCAGTTATTTCCACTGAGTGGTTTTTCAATTACATTTTGGTTTTCAAAATTATGATACATGTCGGTATGGGCGTTTGAATATGTAAGGACGCCCCACGCCACTCAGAAGGCCGTCCATGCCTGACAACGAGTAGGAAGCCACGAATCGTGAAGCACGCCAAGTCCAAACGCTATGTGTTTCTAGGGGCAGCTGCTTCAATTTGAGTGGGAAGCATGACAGTGTGTTTCGGTAAAAAGTGACGTTTCCACTCGGCAAACCTGCAACACAGAACCACTGTCTGCTTATTACACCGGGCCCTTAGAATAACCCTCTTTAGTTGAGCTTGCGTAGGCTGACGATGATTGTGCTCTAAGAGCACCACGTAGTATCTTAGTATAATGGGGCTGTTAAGTGATGACGTCACAGTTCCTTCGATACGCATAACAACGATCCCACTGGGGACAAACAAAAGTAGCGTCGTCTCCACCGACCCAGTTGTCAGTGGCAACATATAGGAATCGTGTACATTTCTTCGTTTCTTCTTTGCTGTTTTCAGTGAGTGTTTTGTTTTCTCTTTGTCCTTGATCTCGACGATGTTGTCGTGCTCATTACCTTACTGAGACGTCTCTTGTGACTGTAGCCAGTATCACGGAGGATTTTATTGGCGTGACAAGGTAGATCGCCGAGATCGAGCGTGAAAAACGCTCTGCATTAGTAGCTCCTGTAGAATGTTTTCTGGTTCGGCGTATCCATGGTCAACAAAACCAAGGTGCAAGACAGCATGAGAGATCGTGTAAACGATGTGAACTCCAAAAGGTAAGCTCCTGAACAAGTGGAAAGATATGGGTATTTACAAACTCTCTTTTCATCCATCGATTGCCGCTATGCATTGCATTTTGTTTTCACAGATAATCTGGCCAAATTTATTGTAACTAGAGAGTGCAATCGTGCACTGCTTGGGGCCCATCCCAATGTCATCACATGGCTGTGGTGACTAGTGTATATCTGGGAGAATTTTTCCTCGACTGGTACGGAGTGCAGGTGGATCGATTATGAGAAATGCGAACATGTGAAGTAAGTAATTAGTTGTGTCGAAGAAATGTGCAATAAAATAAAATTTACTTTACACTCAAACATACACTGTAGATGTACATGTAACATCATGATAATGATTCTATCTTCATTGTCCCGCAACTGGTACACCATACGCACCGAATACATGGTGTGTGTGTGTGTGCGCGCGCGCGCAAGCGCGCGCATGTACATGCACACATTCTCATGCGTGGCCGAGTCGGCCAGATGAACAGACCATGCATTTACACGAGGTGCCCGTAATGTGCTGTACTTTACGACTTTATTCCAAAAGAGTATGCCTTGCCCCTGACGAATGGAGTTGTGTCTGTGCTCAGCTGGTATCGGGCTATGACGCAACACTGCAATCAGCGCTGCAATTAAAAGAGCACTGCATGGATTATTTTGACTAACTTCCTTTGCGTTTACTTGGTTGAATTTTCTGTCATGATTGGCCTCTGGAAATAATCAGAGTGGATGTCATTTTGCCATTATATGTGTGCCTTGTGCGACAGGTTCAAGGCTAGATGCACTTCACATTCGGCGTGCGATCTCAGCGTCTGGGACCTGATGAAGTCTTGGTTGGATGATTATTCAAGCCTGACACTACTCGACACACCAATGTTCATGTCAATGTAATTTTTTCAGAGCTGCACTATTTACGTGTTGATGCTTACTTCGGTGTTAGCGTGTTTCCCCCGGATTGTTTCTATCATCATGATCGTGTGTTCTTGGGCTGAGCGCCGGAGCACATGCACAAGTGTGCAGCTATAACCCTGTGTATCTTTGGTTACACTTTGTTCTGCAATGCATGTACCTTGTAACATTATGTGCTTGCACTGCTTTGTCTGGCCTGCGTATTTCAGGACTATTCAGTGCATTAGACCCAGGTTTGTTCGGTTGCCGGATGATCTCTTGTTGCGTCGCTCTGTATTTGTATTCATCAATTTTTGGGCTTGAGAATTGAGGTGTTGTGTGGTTCCCTATATGAAAACATCATGCTGGTGCTCTGTGTTTCGATTATCGACTGTCGGAGCAGTCATGCATTTATTAGCAGAACGGTCAATACTGTAGTCTTTTCACGTGTTTGTCTTTGTGTTTTCGCCGGGGGTATTAGCGGTAACACTGCACACAGAACGGCAGTGTTGCATCACTGGACGACCCTGCCTCTGCATCTGACTTAATTTCCCCAGGATCTGGTGCAGTTACACCAGACAGCCACTTCCTGTAAACACGCAAACAGCAAAAGAAGAGATCCCGCAAATCAGGAAAAACCATTATGGAAAATATAGAGTAGATCATACACCATTCAATAATCTGGAGTAATTACAGTGAGACAAACACTTCAAACAGTGCTCTCTGTCTCCATCCTTCCAAAAATACCCTATGACAATTCCCTAGAATTATTTTATTTTATATTCTTAGGACATCATTCTGAACATAATAAATTCTTCCATGGGTCTTAGATCACCACGGAGGGCGAAAATATATCTAAGTCATGCAGTTTACGGGAGGTGCGAGCTGTCATGGATATAGAGGCTGATATTGTGCCAGCGTGAGGGCAGAGACAGAAAGAAGACACTGATTTCTTGAACAACTCACCGATATATAATTGAATACACAAGGAGCGCTCATAATTTGATCCATCAGGACGCGAAACATCTTCAAAGCACTCTCAAACACGGAGTTTTACTGTGGGCAGCCAATTTCACAGCCATCATGAAGGCACTCGACGACTACAGGAGTTTTGTAGAGGAAAGAACAAGGAGTAAAGAGCGACAACAATCGCTTGAAGAAAAAGCAAAGAAAAACAACTGTCTCTCCAGTCATTTTAGATGCTGTTGCCCTTGACATCTGGTTCCATCCAGAGGACGCGACTTTTGTTTGTCCCCAGTGCTCTCCGTTGCTATGCGTATCGAAGGAGCCGTGACGTCACACTTAACAGCCCCATAGAAATCTACGCGCCAAGCCATCAGCAGGGATGCGAAGTACATGGACTACAAACTTTCGTTACGTAAACCTACGCGTAGGTCTATTGTGTTACTTGTAAGTAGTTGTAGCCGAACCTCTCATGATCAGAGAAGAAAACGACATGTTCCGTCGTCACCTATCCTACTTGATCCTGTTCGCTGAGCTCTAGCTCTTCATCTGGCTCATATCAGTACGGTAGCCGTGCTAATGTTTTAGCACATCAGCTTGCATGGTTCATTGTTCATTGTTTGTTGTCATTTGTATGCTGCAGTTAGAACGTTGCTTGCTGAAGACACTATGGCCGATGCTCAGCCGTTCGTTGTGACTGTAGGTCCCGTGGGCACCGCGGACGGATCTTCTCAGGTTCGCTTAGGTGGCACATGTGTCTTGTGTGGAATTAAAGCAGAATTGACAACTCCTGCAGTATGTCGGCCTGATGAAGGTTATCTCGTGGCGAATGTGAATTTATCACCAATGTGTTCATCATCGTTCCGTACTGGACCCCCTAGTGAAGAGGCTCAATCCCTGAGTCAGTGGTTACATGATGTCTGGACTGAATGCGAATTGCTGGACGTGAAACAGTTGTGCATCTCACCTGGCAAGCTATGTTGGGTATTGTATGCGGACATAACATGTCTGAATTACGATGGCAGTCTTCAGCAGGCATGTTTAGCTGCTTTGGTAACAGCTTTGAGGAATCTGCGCTTGCCAAGCGTTGAGATATCAGAGGAAACGCAGCGCGTCGTCCGCTCGTCAGATTTATCCCAGCCTGTCAGATTGAAGTGTATACCAACGGCTGTATCCTTTGCTGTGGAGAGTGATAAGATGGTGCGCTCACCATGTCGTGAAGAGGAGAGAATAGCCTCAGCTCTCGTCAATATGGTTGCAATAGATCAAGAGAGACTCTGTGCTATCACAAAGCAAGGTGGAAAGTCAATCAACCAGTCAATCTTGCGTCAGTGCTATCAGCAGGCATTAGCACATGGTGAGGAAATACGTAGAACAATCAATGAGGCATGTAGCCAAGCATAGCTGCCAATGTCTACCTACGATATTTAACTTCGTATTGATCATCATGTAATAATAGGCATGGCATCCAGAATTGCATATTTATCATCATATAAATAGACATGGCATTCAGAAAGCCAACCCAGCGTCACCGAGCTTATCTGAATTACCACCAATATGCTGTCATATCAACACATACGCTCGTAATTATGAGCACAGGTGCACGCACACACACCACACACACACACACATACACACCACACACACACACACACACACACACACACACACGCATGCACACACACACACACGCGCGCGCACACACACACACACACACACACACACACACACACACACACTGATGCATGTGCCCGCAAACATTCCATTATTCATGGTACATGAAAACTGTTTGATTGTTCATAAAATTTGGAAAATCGAGCGAGCAAATCAGAACAATTCCCTCCATCAGAGTTGCGCTTGTCACTTGGGCGTGAGCTGATAGAGCTTGCGCAAGGTGAGTTGCTTGTAAACAACACCCAGTGATGAGCGCATTCGAATCACACAGATCATGGTGCACAATCATGTTGTCTTAGTTTTTTTTAATATATTTATTTATTTCAATTATTTCACCTACCCGTGGCGAGGTACATGTAGTTCTGAGGGGTGACTAGTTTTTTCCTCTTTAACTCATAATTATTGTTCACTCTGACATGTCATCGTGAGTACTCTTTAATGTGCTTTGACCTACTGGTATGGTTTTAGGGAACTGTGCTTTCCAATGACTTGTGTTCTTGTAAGAGCAACTGTTACATAGAAGGAGCGTTCTATGTATGATATAAGGGAGATGTACAGGTAAGTAGTGCGGAACCTCTTTACAGTCTAACTGCAAATATGTGGTACCCCAGGGCGAAATTGGAATCCAAGAAAAAATTCACGGTTTGAGTAAGACTACAAAGTAGGCTACAGTCCGTTTCAAAAACATTGACAAACAGGTTTTGGTCTGAAGGTGGCAGACTACCCAAAAATTCGCCCTTAAGGTGGCAGACTACCCAAAAATTCGCTGAAAAATCGTATTTGTAAATTCATATTGAGTGCTACGTCAGTTGAAAGAGCATGAATAGCTGCAAATTCTCTGAAAATTTTGTCCCGATCAGACCGGCCGTTCAAGAGTTATGGCCGAAAATGTGCCCTTGCAAGGAAAGATTTTTTTGTTGCACGCTGTCATTTGTTGGCAGCACTGTATTTGAATGTGAGCAGACCGTGCGCAACTTGTCGTATCATGGAAACACGCGAAGGTGTGCAGAATTTTGCTCGAAGTCCAAAAAATCAGGTTTTTGAGCCACGTATTGGGCTGCACGGCGGCGGGCCAAGCCCGCCGCCGTGCAGCAGGACTTTTGCCAGCACCCTCGTGACGTTGCAGATAGGTGGCTTGATTATTGTAGTTGACGTTGATTTAGTGACTTTGGCAAGTTTGAGTCGTGTCAAGAAGTCATGTAGGATTCAGTACTAGGCAGTAGTGAAACGTGAGTGGTAGTCTTTGCCGGTTTCTGAGGGTATCCTGGATTTGGTGTGCAGCGCTGTGGAAATGGCTTGCTGTGGAGGTCCCAGTACTGGATGTTGTATCAAAGGTACGACTTCGTAGCACGTGCTAAACCTAAAAAAAATCAAAAATTGACGAAAGGCATAATAATTCTTTTTTTTAACAAAAAAGAATATAATCGTTGTCGAAGCAGAAAAAGAGACAAAGAGGCGCAAAAGAGTCTGTTAAGTCAGCAGAATGATGGCTTCATGTGAGGAAAAAACAAGAAACTAAAAAACAACTCCCGAGTATAATGAGGGTCAGTACCAAGGCTAACACCCATACGGTTCAAATCATCTGCAAGACTGCAGTGTGGGTGAATGTACATTAAGCTACATTATGAATACGAAAGGCAAACATTTTTTTTAGACAAAAAGGCAAAATAATAATTGTGACAGCAGAAAAAGAGAAAAAGAGGCGTAAACGAGTCTGCTATGTCAGCAGAATGATAGCTTCATGTGAGTATAAAACAAGACACTAAAACAACTCCCTAGTACAATGAGGGTCAGAACGAATGCTAACATCCATACGGTTCAAATGGTCGTAAGACTGGGGTTGTGCCAACCGTGCAGGTTGTAGTAAGGGGAACTGTTTCCAGACACAATGCATCCTCCGCCTTGTAACATGCTGCCAACCAACAACATGTTTTCAACACAAGGCTAGTCTCATAATGACATGTACATGTAGATGTATACTCCCAGTTGGGCTATCCGTGGTGAAAAGAATAACCGACGGTAAAAAAACTAAAAAATACTTAACCGTTAAAAGAATATCCGCGTGATACAATTGCAGAGACAACACATTTTCTTTCTGTACATAAAGCTCAGCATCCAACTTATGTATGTACATGTATAAAACTTTCTAATACAATAGCACTGAAAAATATCAATTGTGCAATGTGCACTCATAACCATGTATAAACAATTAAAATGAAACAATTTCAGAACGTTTTCGTGTGACTATCATCAGTGGAACATCGTCACATTACAGCCAAATATAATGCACTTCTACCACCTCTACCACTCATATTATATTTATTTGTTTTTGGCGAAGCTCTAACGGATGTCCCTGACAGATTACGGATTCAATTGCTTGTAGAATTACCACTGCATATCTTTTAAAATAGCTTGCTTTGTCCAATAGAAAAGTAAAGTACACAAAGTCTCCGAGCCGCAGTGTCTTTTGTAACCTTCGAAGTTGATTTTGGAAAACTATAAAATGGGTAAATGGAGAGCAACAACCAGAGACGCATATGGTACTCCACTTACGCAGACTTGAGACGTGTTCTGCTTGCGTTCTATTGCTAAGGAGAACTGCCCGCAGCGTTTTGCACTGGGGATGTTGTCGCGGTGTTCTGAGCAACGTCCAGAATACAGCCTTCCTCTTCTCCAAGACGGGCGACAGTGCTATGTACATTCTTGAATCGGTGATGGCCAGATTGAGTACGCTTCTGCTTGACAACTCACTGATGATTTGATCGAACACTATCCAGATGTCTCTGAAAGTAGCCAATATACTAGGCTCTTCCTGATCCTCCTCGTGAGAATCATAAGAGTCTTCGATATCGTTTTCTGAAGAAATGGAGACAGCATCAAAGCTCTGACTACTAGGCTTAACATCGTTGCGCTGTTGATTATGTGTTCTTCGAGTAAACTTCTGAATAATATAGTCGCATGCATGCAAAAAGACACACTTCAAGCACTTGCCTGTTTGTAACGCAACTCTAAATACACGTACACAATCACTAACAACAGTTTGAGGGAAAGGCATCTTTACTGAAGCAGAGGGCAAAGGGAACTGCACGACAATTACTCTGGCCTCATGAAAACCTTGTGAAAAATGACCATGAATGTCAAACGCATGCGCATCATTATGTATATCTATTGTACATGTACGTGTCATAGAAGATGATCACGTGCGTGGAGCACATTTTTTTTACGGGGTAACGGCCTCTTTTACGGGCAAAATAAAGTCATGTAGACGTGAAAAAAATTGAGATACCATGAAAGTCAAAATAGAATTTTATTCAAGTACAATACATTGGGAAACTCCAAAAAATTTCCTCGTAAAACAGACGGAATTCAGTTTTCAATGGCCGATGCCTACCCCAGCACCATCCTGCGTCGACAGGCCTGTCAGGCGCCTTCTAGACCCGCGTAGCCGGAGGTCGACTGCATGGATCACTGCAAATTGGCTGCGAACTCGCACCCAAGCCATGATGATTGAAAAAAAAGACTCCCTTCGATAGGCATCTATTTGCCTCTGGAGGATCCGTGAAATAAAAATCAATCAAATGGCTTGTCCCACTTGAGGGCGAGGCGACCAGCAAGTCGCTTCTGATAGCTGGCGTATTCGCGATGTATCGGGTCATCCTCTATGACACGTACATGTACAGTCATCTGTACATGTACATGTATAAGGGTTTCCAGATTATTCGCAAGAAATTGCGTATTATTGAGATACGATGGCGCGACCACAGCTGAATCCACTGGCTCGGCCCTACTTCCCCCCTTGCCAGGGTAAACTGACCTTGCTTTCCGTAAATTGCCGCTCAATCGTTAACAAATCTGCCGAACTGTCTGTCATTGCTGATTTCAACAAACCTGATGTCATCTGTCTAAATGAAACATGGCTAAATCCAAGCATAGCGCTCACCATCTCCGGTTATACCACATTTCGTCGCGACCGACCACCTCATGATAACAAATCCGGTACGGCAACCAGAGGATATGGTGGAGTTGCGATTCTTGTCCGGCAAAATCGCTTCGGAAGAGTCCAAGTTCGCGACGACCTTGCTCGTCCGACCTGTGAATCCGTATGGGTTGAGCTTCACCCAATCTTAGGCTCCCCGACACCCATCCTCGTCTGCTGTACCTACCGTCCGCCCTCAGTCAAAACCACGGAAATAGACCACTTCTGTGATATGCTAGCTAGTGCTTTGGTAACCGTTCCCATGTCATCGTACCATGTCATAATGGCTGGGGACTTCAACAGTAAGCACAAACGGTGGTGCCCATCGGATTTAACGTGTCCTGCTGGGGCGGCACTTTTTCGCACCCTTACCTGCTTCGGTTTGGATCAGCTGGTGCAGAGTCCAACGCACACAACATCTTCCGGAACACAGTCATGTCTAGACCTTGTCTTCACGAACCAACCCCTGCTGGCGACGGACGTTCACACAGCTTGCGCTCTTGGCTCCTCGGACCATCTCATGGTTTCATGCCAGTTCGCCGTCTCATTGCCCTCGGATCCAGACCTGCCACTTCCTTCTCGCAAACCGTTCCCATATCGCTTCCGTCGAGTTCCCTCTCAGTGCTGGGACTCTATGAACGCTGATTTCTCCTGCCACGACTGGTCGTTTCTGCAACCAGAAGGCTCTCCAACTGTTGACGCCACGGTAGATCACTTTGCAGCCGTCCTTGAACGAGGGTTCCAACAGCACCTC